CATTATATATATTATATTATATTATATATAATATAATATAATTTAATAATATAATATCAATTTAACTACACCTATAAATTCATTCACTTTTGTATTACTGTAATATCATACTTCAATGTAGATCATTCTTCAACTGTATGATGTTACAGTAATAAGTGAATGAATTTATAAGTACAATTAAATTGAGCTACTTTACACAATATTTTATTGCCAATAAAATTAACGATGCCAATTCTACATAAATAAAACTATACTGTATTATTGTGAGATAATATAATGATTTTGAAATTTTTCTTTTTATGATTGATCGAAATACGCATGCATGGCAAAATATTTTTTTAGCTGTAAATCGAAAAAGAGCCACATCGATTCAGCGTTAATTGATTGTATCCAGATGTACGCGATAGCCAGGGCGGTGGATCTTCCGTCGAAAATCGGCGACCTCGAGGTTCTCATATTGATCGTCTCCTGCATCTGTCACGATCTCGATCATCCGGGCTACAACAATATCTATCAGATAAACGCGCGGACTGAACTAGCATTGCGTTACAACGATATCTCGCCTTTGGAGAATCATCACTGTTCCGTGGCGTTCCGGGTCCTGGAGGCACCCGAGTGCAACATCCTCGCGTCCTTGGACAATCTTACCTATAGAATAGTGCGCGAGGGCATTATACGATGCATCCTAGCGACCGACATGGCCCGGCACAACGAGATCCTCGGCCAGTTCATCGATATCATTCCTGAATTCGATTATACCAACAGAGCACATATAAATCTGGTAAATACGCCGACTAATGGAGTTAGTAGGTTAGTTGTTAATTTAATCGAATGAAACATTAAATAATCAATACAATTACGTATTTTGCAGCTATCCATGATCCTTATCAAAGTGCTTCAAGAGTTCTTTAAGCAGAGCGACGCGGAGAAACTCGAGGCTCTTCCGGTCACGCCATTCATGGATCGCGACAAGATGACCAAACCATCGTCCCAGGTTAGCTTCATCGGCCTAGTTCTTCTCCCCCTCTTCGAAGCCCTCGGCGAACTTCTTCCCGAGCTACAGGTATTCCCTGTTCTCTTTTGTACGTGTATTAATTTATTCGTGCTTGCAATGAAATGGATCGGCAACCATTCTTGTATAAAACCTTCGAAAATTAATATCGGTTTTTTGCATGAACAGATCTTTATATACACGAAACCTTGCTTTCCAGAATCTCATAGTTCAACCCGTCAGGGAAGCTCTGGAGTACTATCGCAGACTGAACGAGGCTGCCAAAGACGAACGTCATCATCGGAAAAGTGTCATAGATGTCGGAGAATCAGGCATATCCAACGCGCCGAGCGGCGTTGGCAACTCCGCCATTATCAAATCCACGTCGTCGCACAGCATGCGTTCAAAACGATCCGCCACGACAATCCATTCGCGCTCGCGCTCCACCGACGACGATATTACGGAGAACTTGACGATGGAGGAGATGGAAAATGTCGAGAGCTCTGATCCGGAGACCGCCACGGAAGTAGAGATCAGCGAGAAGACGCTCAAGTTCAAGATTTCCACCGAAGGCACACTGGCCGGCCCGACTACCGGCCGGAAGAGTTGCCCCAGCAGTCGCAAGGGCAGCCGGGAGAAATCCTCGTTAGATTATCATAATCAGGATCTGATCAAGGCCGTTCGGGAACACGAGCGCGAGAGGAGACGCAGCAGCAGATGCGTAAATCTCGGTAGCGATCTCAGTTCGCCGATCAGCGCGAGATCCGCCGAAGGCACGCGTATTCTCGAGGAAATTGAGAAGGAGGCGACAACATTTCTAGTCGCTAAAATTGAAGACAGAGCGCCAGAGGGAAACGGTAATATCGTCGTGGCAGAGGCCTACTCGCAACCGAGGAACAACGTGAAGAAGGCCGGCACGGTCATAGAAAATATTCATGAAATCCGATCTAGTCGTAAGGATGCACACGGCAGTCGAGAATCAATCAATCTGCGATGTTGCTGCGACGACAGAACTGGGTCGAATAATCACAAGTCTTTATTCTCACGGCTGAGAAACTTTACGGATCATCTGAGCAGCAGTTTTGACTCTAAGGATTCGCCCAGTCCCAAACTAAAGCACGCGTCCAAGATGCTCACTAAGAGCAACTCGGTGAGCAGCGGTTCCGCCGCGACTTCGAGGAGGCACAACAATTCTTTGTTCATCTGTAAGCGCTGCAACCTTGTTAAGTCTTCGATTAAGGACAACAGCAAAGCTATTGCAACTGTGGTGGAGTCATCGTCGGTTGACAAACGAGCGATGACTCTGCCCAAGATTCGCAAATTCACAGACAGCAAGAACAAAAGCTGGCGGACGGTGTTCACTAAAGAAAAGAGATTGTCCACTTCTTTGGAGGCTTTGCCGGCAGCTGGCTCGTTTTCCAAGCACCGCAGAAACTTATCGAATCCCGAGGGCAAGTCACAGAGTATGAAGGAAGTGAAAAGATCTCGACAGGGTCTGGATATCGAGTTTCAAGAGATCGATGTACGTCTGAAGAAACAGCAGCAGCCTGAAATCATAGTCAATCCCGATGATACCTCATGCGACATTGAAGAAGATCTCGGCAAGGTGGAGATTAGGAGAAGCTCAGCCAGTATGGAAGACATTTCTAAGATGGCAAAGCAGGCGGAAGCGGTCATACTGGGTTCGCTGAATTCCAAGGCGGAGGAACGTCCGCACACCGGTAGTCTGGATTCGATGCTCTGCAAGGAGGTGTTTAAATCACGAAAGAAGCATTCCACTGTGTTCGCGTCGCGCGCCACGACCAAAAAATCATCGCCCGGTCTATTCTCGCGATTCAAATCCGGTATGAGCATTGACAGTACTCGGAGCAACAGCAACAGCGATTCTCTGCACGATCACGGTTCGCAAAGCGGCTGGATATCTTCGTTGACGGCCAGTTTTCGGCCAAAGAGGCACCCGAATGAAACGCCGCTGTCGCCGCATCCACCGAGGTCGCCCAGCAGAGAAGAGATCATGTAATACGTCCTGGTGGTCGAGGATCCCTCTGAGAAGAAGCTCGGGCTTCGCGGTTGGTGGCCCGAAAACCTGTTCTGCTGCAACAGTTAGGACTCCAATGGAAAAAGTTTGAGCCTAGTTTAGGCTCAGAAATATCCAGGAATGTCTGTTGCATTGTAATACAAGAGAAATTAGTAAAATAATTGTCAAGAAAAATTTTGAAGAGGTTTAATTTTTTAACAGGTATCATCATGTTTCTCATCGAGATATTAATTATCGGTACCGATTAATAGCTACAATGTGCAGACATAAAACTCCGATTAAATGCATCGGTGATATTTATTAAATATATGTCGCGACATAAAAAGTAGAATGAATTGCGATTAATTCGTGATAATTAATGTCACATCGCAAAATATGCGCGTATATAGGAGAATAAAATCTATCCCCGTATAATTAAAAGCAGTCAATTTCGAACAAACGTAATATTTGCTATAGTAAGCCATTTATCGAAAAATAAGAAACAAAATGTTACATATCTAATATATAATTTCCGATTAAATTGAATTCTTTTTAATTGAATTTTTCTTGCGGAGGGATCCTCATACGGACCATGATTTTATGCCATCAACTTTGACTGTTTTATGTCATAACGATGCGAAGTCGCGAGAGTCGAAATATTTTATTTGCGAGGGACACTTACGGTCTGTGGAAAACGAGGATGTGTATATATATATGCTGTATACATAGACTATTTTATTTATTGTCTAATTAAAGAGTAGCCTAACAAGTGATCATTAATGTTGTTCGTTACTATACATACATACATACATATATAAATATACGCAGTGTATACAAAGACATAAGAATATAACGCATCTCCACTAGGAGCAAGTGGATAATTTTAAGTAGAAGAGACAAACACAAATAGATATGTAAGCGTGGCTCGTGTATCGATGTGCGATTAAGTTTCGGGGACTGTATCAAGGATGTGAGATAAGAAAATCTTGTCAGACCATTTTTAAAATATTCTAAGAATAATCTTATTTTTTAAACCAACGTTCTCAAAAGTTTTTAGAGATATTATTTTCTAAGAAAGCTACTTTTAAAAGAAAAACTTACTTTTTTCTCAAAATATTTCTCGACACATTATTCGACACTTGTACATTATTCTCGAATTATTCTGAGATATTCTTGAGAATCCTAGAATATTTTCAGATTATTTTCACTTTCCGAGAAAATTGTCATTTTATATCAGTAGTTGCCATGGCGAAATAAAAAAAATGGAGGAGATTTATTAGATTTATTAAGTGTGTTTCTCATTGATTTCTCCATAACTCGGAAAGCACTAGAAAAATTGTTTAGCGAATCATTTTTTGTCTCTCTAATCGTGTTATTAAAACATTATTCAATTTGGAAAACGATTTATTAAACTTGATTGATTTGATTGAGGAGAAGAGATCTGTTTAAAGTTTCTTGAATAGCTCAATAAAATGATTTTAGTATTTTTTTAACATCGTATCCCAAAAAAGTACATAAAACTGATAACAGGAATATAATCGATCGGTCTTTTCTCAATTATATATCTATATTGGACTCTATCTACCCTGTTATTGTTTAAAAATTCAGATAAGTAGGGCTAGATAATTAGTGGCTTATTGATATACATAAATACACGCATGCATAAACACGCGTAGGTACAATTATTTTTGTACGAGAGAGAGAGAAAGTCTCTACTATTCTGCTCTACATTTTTTTAGATATTTATATTTTTGTATTTTATCATATACACACAATTGCGTATATATGGCAATTAAAAAAATCGCACGTGTTGAATTCTAGTCTTACATTATTGTTTTTAGACCAATTAAAAGTTGATTTTAGGCTGATCTTAATTTGGGCAACAGTCTCTGCGAAGAAAACCCTCGACATGTGTGTGAACGAGCGACATTTACTTGACTGAATATTTGACTAACGAATTTTTATCTCTCTCTCTTTTCGTGTCGTAGAATTAATAATTGTCGATTAAATCAAATGGAACTTGATGTGCATGTGTGACGATACGAATGAAAAATTAAGTCCACGCGTAAAGTTATCTAAAATATATAATTTTAACAAATAAAAGAAAAGATAAAAAATTGCGTTAATTTCATGATTTTTTTATTCGGTAAATTTCTGCTGTCGAGACGTGAAGTCGAATGATAAAATGTATATATAGAATAGAATAATTATCTTTCAAGTAGAATATATAAACCTCCTGTGTGAGAAAAACTTTCCTTGAAATTGAGACTTGAATTAGTATACTCGTTTTCCTGAAAGAAAGTTATTGTTGAAAAAAGGAAAGAAAAAATATTAAGGACAAAAAGATGGAACGAATAGAAAAGCGCATATATATGCGGATGAAGGAGTTGTACCAGTGTATGTATAGAGAGCAACGCATATTATAATAATAATGATAAATAATCAAGTTCTCTCCTCGATGTGAATGAAAGAAGGCATTTGATTTTGATTCTCTTCTCGAGTCAGGACCACTATAATTAATCATACAAATCTATCGTATTTAGAGATTTTGATCTTAATCAGATTTTACGCTTATAACGAATTCTAGAATAATTGCAAACTCTATAATTGATAACATTAACGAAAACATGATCAAACTGCTATACGTTCTTTATCGAAGCGCATAGATTAAACTTCGAACGGATCAAGCGTTTATCAGAAAACTTGTATCACGACCAAAGCAGAATATTCTTAAGACTTGACACATCTTAGAGAAAATCAAATGCACTTTTTTCTTTTCGTATCGCTCACTCTTTGTGCCTGATTGTTACTAATGTTCAAGACTAATGTTGAAGAAAGGTATTCATATGACTAATTTTACAACTTTTTAACTATATAAGCTAATACATTCTAAATTATTGTTTCAAAAATTTTACGTACAAAAATGATAAAACTTTATCAAATTAAAATTGCTATTAAACTGAAGATTTTACGATATAGAACGCGAAGAAATTAAATTATCTTGAGTCTTACAATTAGTTTGATATCTATTTATCATATTTTATGAAATAAATGCGATTATTAGCGTTATATATATATTTTTTTTTAGAAACTTTTTTCAGACTTTCAAGAGTGCCAGCGTATGAATACTTTTTTCCAAAACTAGTCATGTTTGCAATTTCTTACCTACTATCTCTTAACTATCTATCAAAATCTTGATTAAAAGATGATCAATTTTCAACGGTCTTCGGAGAGTTTCGCGAGAGATAAACTAGAAAATCTATTTATATGAAAATTCAAAGTTCCATATAGTCGCAAAATAAAATTCGACTTGTAAGATCGTCGAAATATTGATTTTCGCTTTTTGTGGTATCTAACCAGTAGATACCTTCCACAATTGCGTAATAAAAGAATAGATAAGAAATAAATAAGTAAAATGAAGCGGAACACAGAATTGGGCCAATCGAGCCGTAGCGTACGGCATCGTTTTACTCGTCAATTGAATCTTTAGTCTCCTTAGAATTTTTCTCGTATTCCAATTATCGTCGTTAATTATTGGGATAGAATACATTCGACTCAATCGTATAATTAATTCTCGCCTCTCTCTCTCCCTCTCCCTCTCTCTCTCTCTTTCTCTTTCATGCTAACGTTGAAGATAAGCGATGTTAATCACGCTTGGTTTTATCTATTATCATGTCTTTTTACCGAAATACATGACAACCTATTATGCTTATCCAAAGTTACCAAATATCTAAAATCCATTTTAGAACGAATATTAACATTTACGAAAAAATATTACAATATGAAAGAGAACTTATTTTACTTCAGAGGAAATGTATTATTTCCTCCCGTGTGTTTTGTTTTTATATATATATTCAATGAAAAATGAGACGGCAGAGATGTCGATAAGAAATAAATTTGCTTTGCTATTTTATTATTAAAATATATTTTTATAATATTGTGCAATTATAATAAACAGCAAAATAAACAACTTCAAATAAAATGATATGCGAAGAAATTATTTGAACGCTATATAATCGTGTTACACGATAATTCAAAGAGAAATGTACGATATGTGGTGTGAGATTCTTTATTTGGAACCTTTTAATCGAACAATATCGAGTTTTCGATATTTACGAAAAAATATTACAATATGAAAGAGAACTTATTTTACTTCAGAGGAAATGTATTATTTCCTCCCGTGTGTTTTGTTTTTATATATATATTCAATGAAAAATGAAACGGCAGAACAAAGCTACGTTAATATGTAGCTGCTCTAACATTCTTCAATTGTCATTAATATCATCTTTTTTTAAACAAACCGCTTATATATCGTATAGCGATCGGAAATTCTATTATATGAAACTTTTCGATATTTCTTGTTTCTCATAAACTCGTATAAATCAGATCATCACGTTGGAGTGATTTTGTATTTATAAAGTCTGTTCTTTCCGTCTCTCGCCGTCCCTCTCTCACAAATTGTTAAATTAAAATC